GTAAGTGGAGTTTGTGGCGTTTGGAAGGTGGGGTTGTGGGAATGGGGTGGGTAAGTTGTTGTGGGAAGGTTAGGGTTGTGGGTGGGGTGGGGGGTGGGGGGGAGGAGTGTGGGTAGGGTTGTGGTGGGTAGGGAGTGGGGTTAAGGTCTTAGTTGTGGTTGTATTTATAGTTGTGGTTATAGTATTGGTTACAGTTGTGGTTGTAGTTTGGGTTAGGGTTGTGATTGTGATTATAGTTTTTAGTCTTGTTTTCTATGTTTCATATCTTGCGTTTATATGGTGTATGATATAATACAAAATGATAATGTGCTTGAAGTAAAAAAAAAAAAAAAAGAGAAGGGGGGGGGGTTACTGCAGAAAAAAAAGAGTAATTTGGTAAGATTAGGTAAATGTATGGTATATAATTTAAAAGTTACGGTTGGAAATAATAACTGCAAACTTTAAAAGTCGCGTTACAAGTTACAAAAATTTATATAATGCAAAACTTTGTTCCAACATCTTTCTTCATTCCGTCAACTTACTTGTAATCTCTCTCTCACTTTTTTTGTTCTTTGTTTGTTTTTTTATCGTATGTTGTTTTTATTGTTTGTTTGGTCACTGTTTATTTTGTATGTTTTTTTTCTGTAGACTTGTATCTATATCTAACGTCTGCAATTTATCATTGTTTGGTTTATTTTTTTTTAGAATTTAGTTACTCATTTTATTTTGATTCTTTCTTTTATTATTATTTATTATTTTGGTTGCATTTCCTTCTTAATCCCTTGTGTGTTCCCTGCTCGCAATCGCCGCCGGGAATAAAGTGGCGAGAAAAAGGAATCTTATGCGCCAGGATTCTCGGCTTTTCCCCTCCACACCTTCCTCCTCCTCCTCCTCTCTCTTTCCTTTTTCCTCAGTTTCATCATTATCCTTCTCCTTCCTTCTTCTTCTTCTCTTTTTTTTTCTCTCTCCTCCTCTTTCTCTTTCTCCTTTTCCTCTGCTTCCGTCATGTTATTCCTCCTCCCTTCCTTCTCTTTCATCCACCGATTCTTGCTACTTCCCCTGCTTCACTTATTCTCCTTTTCCTCCTTCCTCCACCCCTTTCCTCCTTTCCTCCTTGTCCCCTCTCGCCGCTCCCCTCTTCATCTCTCCAAGAGTTTAAAGAAAGTCCTGCAAAATCCCCAAGGAAATTTAGGTACTTTTGGATTAAGCACAATGCAGGTTCTCTCTCGTCCTCCTGATTTTTAAGAGGGCGGGGGACTCACACTATAACATTGTAGCTGAGACACCGACGCTCCCTCACAGAATTCAGGAAAAAAATCTTGAAATTCAAGGGGGAGACTGAACAAACATAGCAAAACAAAAAAGGAAACAACAAAAAGGGGGGGAAATAACTTGAGAAAGAACAACATCAAAATAAGAGAGAAAATAAAGAAGAATAAGGTATTAGAAAAGGCTCACTTAAGGACGAGATTTACGTAACGTACTCACGAGAACAACAAAGTGTGTTCTAGGAAATCAACCGTTTTTTTCGTTTTGTTTATTTTTGTTTTGTTTTGTTTTGTTTTGTTTTAGGTAGGAAGGCTTGGGTGAAGATAACACTTATATACACGTAGAACATTTTCTTTGAACAGAGTAGATTTTTTTTTTGAACGGAGGAGGGGAAAATTAAGATAAGGCCCCGCAAGTAAATAAAGATAAAAAAGATAAACAAATAAAAAAGGAAGTAATGTTCTTCCGCTTCCTTGTTTTTGGGGCGAATTAAAGTTAATGAATTTCCTAGATCAGGCTAAGAGTAAACACTCCAGGGAGACGAAATGGAGTAGGGAGGGAGAAGGGAGGGAGAAGAGAGGTAGGAGGGGAGGAGAATTAGGGAGTGAGTGTGTGTGTGTGTTTTTTTTTTCTGTGAGCTAGTGAGTTAATTAATTGGTTAATTAACATTCATTTATTTATCAGTGAATGAATGAGGGAGGAAGGAAGAAGAAGGTGTGAGAAGGAGGGAGGGAGATAGACCAAAAGGAAGAGCAGGGGAAGGAGGGAAGAGGAAGGGTGAGAAGGTAAGAAGAAACGGAGACAGAATGAAGGAAGGAGGTTAGGGGGGGGGTGAGGAAGGGAGGGTTGGAGAAAAAAAGGAGGAGGAGGAAGAGGGAAGAGGCGGGTAAGACTATGGCTCTAATTCTCTCAAGATTAAAACCTGGTTCTGAGAAACGGAGAAGGCTGTGATATTGTTGTGACTCCCTCCCTCCCTCCCTCCCTCCCTCTCTTCTTCCTTCCCTCCCTCCTCCCTCTCCTCTCTCTTCCTCTCCTCCCCTCTCTCTCCTCCTTCCCTCTCTCTCTCCCCCTTTCCTCCTTCTCTTCTCCTTCCCTAATTCTTTACCTCTCTCCTCCACTTCCCTCCTCTCCCCTTCCTTTCATCACGCCCTCTTCTCCTCCTCCCTCTCATCCCTCCCCTCCTTCCTCCCTCCCTCTTTCTTCCTCCTCCACCATTCCCCTAACCTCCCTCTTTCTCTTTCTCGTACACAAGCATACACACGCCTACCCCCCTCCTACCCCCTCCCCACCCCCTCCCTCAGACATACAGGCAGATATAATAACGAGACAGCTATTTATTTGAGCGTTTCCCATCCCTTCCTTTGGTAATGCGATCAAAATCATAATTTAATTTGTGCTGAAAGGACTTATCAGGCATGAGCCTCGAGAGAAAATGAACTGGTGTAAAGACAGGCATTCAGGAGTATGAGGGAGAGGGGGGGGGGGGAGGAGGAAGTGGATGGGGGAGGGAAGGAAGGAGGGGAGGGGGAAGGGAGGAAGGGGGGGAAGGGGAAGGGGAAGGGGAAGGGAAGGAGGAGAGGGAGAGGGAGGAAGGGAAAACGGATAGGGAGGAGACGAAGTGAGGAAGGGGAATGAAAGGGGGAGAGGGGGAGAGAGGGAGGGAAAAGGGGAAAAGGGAAAAGAAAGCGGAGGGAGGGGGAGGGTGTGGAGAAGGGAGACACGGAACACTATCCCATACTAATGCCATACACCCCTTTTTCCCCCTTTTTTAGGGGGGGCGCAGTTTCATATTTCAATTAGATTCCCCAAAGAGAGTGATAAAGAAATAAGATTTTTTTTTTTTTTTGATGTCCGAGTTAACCAAAGCCAGGAATAGATGATTTGAAATGGAACGATGAGGAGGGGGAAGGAGAGGAGAGAGAGGCGGAAGAGAGAGAAGGTGGAAGGGAGAGAAAGAGGGGAAGAGAAAGAGGAGAGGAAAGGAGGGGGAGAGAAGGCGGAAGGAAGAGAAGGTGGAAGGGAGACAAGGTGGAAGGAAGAGAAGGCGGAAGGGAGAGAAGGTGGAAGGAAGAGAAGGGAGAAGAAAGGGAGAAAGAAGAGAAGACGGGGGAAGAGGGAGAGAAAAAACAATAAGAGAAAAGAAGAAAGAAGGCAAGAGAAAGGGAGAACTGGGAGTGAGAACGAATTTGAGAAACGGGGAAGCCAAGCGAAAGGGATATGCAGAGAAAAGGAATAAAGAGAAGGAAAAGAAATGGAATAAGGGGTTGGAACGGACAGGGGGTGTGTGGGGGTGTTGGGGAGGGGGGTGGAGGCTGAAGAAGATGGGGAGTTATTAGGGAAGGGGAAGGGTAAGGAAAGAAGGGAAAGGAAGGGGAAGGGATGGGGGGGGGGGGAAGGGGAGGGGAACAGGGAAGGGAGGATGGAAGGGAGGAGGAGGAAGGAAAGGAGAGGAGGGGAGGAGGAGGAGGAGGAGGAGGAGGAAGGAGGAGGAGGAGGAAGGAGGAGGACGAAGGAGGAGGAGGAGAGGAGGAGGAGGAGGAAGGAGGAGGGGGAGGAGGAAGGAGGAGGAGGAGGAGGAAGGGAAGCGAGGAGGAGGAGGAGGAGGAAGGAAAGGAGGGGAGGAGGAGGAGGAGGAGGAGGAGAGGAGGAGGAAGGAGGAGAGGAGGCAGGAGGAGGAGGAGGAGGAGGAGGAGGAGGAGGAGGAGGAGGAGGAGGAGGAGGAGGAGGAGGGAGGAGAGGAGGAGAGGAGGAGGAGGAGGAGGAGGAGGAGGAGGAGACTAGGACTTGGAGGAGAAGGAGGAGGAGTTGGAGGAGGAGGAGGAGGAGGAGGAGGAGGAGGGGAGGAGGGGGAGGAGGGGATAGGGGTGGGGGCGAGGATAGGGGGAAAAGGGAGGAGGAGTATTGAAGCTTTTAGCATTAATTCACTCGTGTTCAAAGACCGCTACGCACCGTTCTTTCAGCGTCTCTAATCCGGCCATTGGTTGATATTAGGGAGATTATAAGCATTTGGAGAGTTAGTGGCGTTGATAACTAGCAGGAGGAGGGAGGGAGGGAGGGAGGGAGGGAGGGAGGGGGAGGGAGGGAGGGAGGGGGAGGGAGGGAGGGAGGGAGGAGGGAGGGAGGAGGGGAGGGAGGGAGGGAGGGAGGGAGGGGAGGGAGGGAGGAGAGGGAGGGAGGGAGGGAGGGAGGGAGGGAGGAGGAGGGAGGGAGGGAGGGAGGGAGGAGGAGAGAGGAGGGAGGAGGAGGGAGGGAGAGGGAGGGAGGAAGGAGGAGGGATAGGAGGGAGGGAGGGAGGAGGGAGGGAAGGGAGAGGAGGGAAGGAGGAGGGAGGAGGGGGGAGGGAGGGAGGGAGGAGAGGAGGGAGGGAGGGAGGGGGGAGGGAGGAGGGAGGGAAGGAAAAAGGAAGGGGAGAACGGAAAGAAGGAAAGAATAGTGAAAGCAAAAGGGGAAGCAAGAAGAAGAAAACGAACAAGAGAAAGGAAAATAGAAAGGAGAGATAAAGGAGGTAGATAAGGGAAAAACGAGAGATAAATTTCGTTGCTGTGGATGTAGGGAGGGGGAGGAGGGAGGGGGATGGGAGATGATAGGGATGGAGGGAGGGAGGGGATGGGAAAGAGAGGGAGAGGAAAAGGAAGGAGAGGAGGGCGGAGAGAGGGGAGAAGGGATAGGGGAAGAAGAAGATGGAGGGAGGGGGAGAGGGGAGAAGAGAGAGAGCAGGGCGGAGAGAGGGGGACAGGAGGGGGCCGAGTAAG